CTGGGATCATGCTTGAAACAAAAAAGGTGGAAGGGCAGTGCGGCTTCTTGTGTAATTGCGAGGACTTACGTCCTAAGCATAAAATCCGCAGACCCAGTCCCCAAACCCTTAGCTCCTGAACCTTAAACCCTAACCCCTAAACTCCATAAACCTTCAAATCCAAAAGCCCCTCACACCCCTACAATGCAAGTAACCTCGGGCTTGGTATCACTTGTTGTTATGGTTGTTGCTACACGCATTGGAGGGTCCTAAGCCCTTTCATGGCCGCTGGCTCCGGCAATGCATCCGCAGACTCGGAGAGCTTCTGCGGCTCACCTCCGCATGGGAGGTCTGGATAAAGTCTAGGGTTTAGGGCCTAGGCTTTAGAATTTAGGTTTTAGGCTTAAGGGTTGTTGGTTGCTGGTTTGATTCAAGGTTTAGGGTATAGGGTCTAAAGCTTAGGGTTGTTGGTTTGATTTCGGGTTTGGGGTATAGGGTTATAGGCTTAGGGTTTGGGGTTTAGGTATATGTATTATGTACGTAGAGATGTAGATTAATATGTGTATGTTTTCTGGTCGCTGATGTGGATATGATGGCACACACATGTGCACAGATGTTTGTTGAAGTCTTCATATAAGAATGTATGATGAAATTTTGAAACCCTATACCCTATATGAGCTATAGTCTAAACTCCCAGTATCCCCCTTTGAAAACCTCTCCAGGTTTCAGGGTCAAGGATTCGCGGCCAGGGTGGGCGCCGGGCTTAGGGATTTGGCACAGGCGCGGAGCGGACTCCTCTTTCGTTTTTTTTTAGAATGTCTTTTTTTAGGGTGTAGGGTTTGGGGTAGGCGGAGACTTTTTGGAGATGATCATGGGGCCTACTGGCAGACATGTAGGAATAAGGATGGATTATTTAGGTCGTAAGACCTTTGAAACCTCTCTTCACAGACGAGGGAATGGGACCGTGGGATCCAGAAGGTTCTAGACTGGCTGGGGTTGTAAAATTGAACTTTGGCCGGGTCCAATATCTGACTGTACAAGCCATCAATGATTCAGAATTTGCACAGACTACTCTGCAAGGCGCACGTCCTTCAAGTCGTCAGTCCAGTTGGATCCATCAACGGTTTGCCGATGTCTCTGAATGCCATGGTTTCCACTGCCGGTAGTTGCTTCTGCATGTAGAGCTGGCGTTTCAAATAGCTACACAGTCGTCCAATTCAAATCCAAGAGAAACACGGCTTCGCAAGTGCAAGGTCCAATGCTTTGAATACAAGCCTTACTTTAGGGTTAGGGTTTAGGGACAAAGCCTCACATAGCAGTTTCCATACGCAGGGGGACCCCAATGCAGAACCCGGACACTATAATCCCATTTTGCGGACGCCCAAAAAGTGATGCCTAACTTTCGGGAAATCCAAACCTTATAAACCATAATCTCGCTTTGAGTTGTTCCATTTGATTCACCTCTATCGGGGTAATATCCCTACATGACCCCAACAAAATAGTAGTGTGGGTTACAAACATCCTTGTTCTTTTCCGTTTGATTTCCGAGTGATCGGGTGAACCCTCCAAAACCAAAACGAATCTCAACATCCAGATGACTGGACCAACCCATGAGCATTGTACAAACTATGTTTATGGCCTTATAGGGAATGAATAAGGATAAACCCTAAACCTTAATCCCAGAGCCTGCCTCCGGAAACAATGCGGTGCTCTTCTGGCACGTCTGCTTTCTGGCGCAAGGATCGAGTGTAGGGATCATACGGATCAGGGCTTATGGTCTATCTTGCACTAGCAAAGGTTCAGGGCCTGGGGATTGGCAGCTGGACAAGGAGTCTCCATTTTTTGCTGTTCCGCATTTAGGCTTGAGGATTCACTGTAATCCCCTCAGACCTATAATACCTTTTTCTAGTAATTCCTCTGGGTTATAATTTATAATCATCTAATTAAAGAAAAAAACTAAACATACTACGGCTCAGGGTTGCCAGACAGAATTACTACTGCAACCCGATGACACGTCCATTTGAGTCCAAGGCCACCCTTGGTGCACGGAAGCTCCAAGAGCTCCACCCCTCAGAGCTACACCAAAACTGAGTTTAGGGTTCAGGGTTAATGGTAGGAGGACCCCCCACCCTGTAATAGTGGTATAATAGGAATATGAGAGGACCCTAATATAATCCCTATTCTCCCCTAAAGTCACTATTACTGGGTGGCGGGTCCACCTAATGTTAATGGTAGTAGATTGGGACTATATTTGTTTATATGGGGTAATTTAGGGGTAATATATTGGGGATTATATAGGGATGGATTTTATTAAGGGGAGGGACTAGAGGGTTCCAACAATTAGGGGTAGCTTCTAAAGGGGTATACAAGGATTTTATACGGTTTAAGGTTTAGTGTTTCCCAAAATTAGGAGTACCTGTTTGGGGGCCTCCACAATAAGGATCATAGTATTTTGGGGTCTATGTTGTGGGTCCCATTGTTTTGAGACGCCACCATATGTTCAAAAATTACTGTAGGGGTCCGTGCTATAGGGGCCCCATAACAAGAGTCAAAATATATTGGGGTCCATGTTGCGGTTGTCCCATTCAGACTGAAATTATCGCGCAAGCTCTCACATGCATTTGACGCAGCAGTTTGCTTCCACTGCTGCATTTAGAGGGCTCCGTCAACGACAGCTACTACCACTACCGCTGCCACAAACGTCACTAAACCTTCAAACAAGACTTAGGTTTGGAAACAATGACAGTCCGCTTCCCCCTGATAATGAATGCCACCAATAAAACACCATTTTATGGTCTGTTTTACTAGGCTGCAGATGAATTTAACATGTGATTGCTCATTCAAACCCTAGACGTCCGGGAAACGCCAGAACGCCGATCAACAAGCCAGCTTCGTAACTGTGGTTCTTTCCCAATATGCGACGCATTCCCAGCTGAAAAGCCTCAAAACATGGAGCCCCAAGGCGCTTGAATTTCACACATGTCCAAACAAAATTAGGAACCAAGCATTTGGTAGTGCAAGTCTCTGTTGGTGCTGTAGCAGAACATATTCTAACCCAACCCGAAACCCTAGAAGCAAACAGGACTCCAACGAAGTCCCTTCATCTTCAGAAGACCCTAAACCCTAAACCCTAAATAGTAGTTTCCATTTCATTTTCCATTATCCTAATATAACCCCAATTATAATACCCCAATATTAACCCGAAGACCCCAATTCAAAGCAAGCGCTCCCAGGCCCTCGAGTGCGCGAAGTAATAACTTGTCTCCCCCTTCGCGGCGATGGAGTTCTGGCACGATGGGCAAATTCTGGGATCAACAGTTCTCAGTTCAGCTTGTTGTTGCTGTGGGGGGAGCCTATTGATCAGGATGCTCCACGTGCCTGACGGGAGGTTATAGGATTAGCAAAGGTAAACATTGCCGCGGTAAGCAGCAGCAGGCAGAAGAAGGCAGAAGCAGCCTCCACATGCATCTAGCCATCATCGGAATCGTATTTCCTCTTGCTGTTAGGAATGCAAGATCAGTGATCCCAAGCAGTTTACTTGAGATTTGACATTTTTTGCAAGGGGAGAGGAGCTCCTGTTTCCTGCAGAGCTGGCAGGTAGGCCAGCACTGAATGAATCAGGCCAGCCCAGGAAAGAAGAATGCTTCGTAACTCTATTGCTAATGGCCTGGAAGGTATGAGGGCACTTTCAGTGGACATGAATTTCAAAGCTCAAGTTCAAAACACTCGGGTCATGAGTGGTTACAGCATGACACTGGCAGCACGCTGAGCCACGACCCATGCACGTATCGTAGTTTGCCCACATTTCCATGCCAAACCCTTAGCGAGCACTGCCAGTATCCCTGCATAATCCATATGGTAGTTTCCCTAAATCAGGGGACCCAATATAGACCCCAAAATACTATAATCCTTATTATGGGGACCCCCAAGAACGGTACCGATAATTTCCGGAAACCCCCATATTCCTAAAGTTCCTTAGGACCCTCCCTTCATTAGAAACTCGCAGCCACACTGCCCAACTGAAACTAATGGGTTTTGGGGTTTAGGGTTTAGGGTTTAGGGTTTTGGGGTTTAGGGTTTGGGGTTTAGGGTTTAGGGTTTTGGGGTTTAGGGTTTAGGGTTTCTTACCTTTGGTTAGCTAGGAATGAAGGAATGGATCCTTATGGTAGTCTCGATATAACCCATTCTAATAGTTTCCAGTTTCTTTTGAAGTCCTTCGTTCCCACCTAACCAAAGGCAACCTCTATATACCCCCAGTTTCCATTTCATTGTCCATTTCCTTTTCCATGTGATTCTCCATTATTGGGGTAGTATCCTGTATACCCCGCTAAACCCTTAACCCTAAGCCCTAAATCCTATAGTAGCTTCCATTGTCGGCCAAGGGAATGTCCCTATATATGCCTTTAAAGGGGTAGCGTTTGTTGAAGGAGCTCTTGCACCCAGGTGACAGCAAGGCTTGGGCTGCAGGGTGTAGGGTTTAGGGTACATATTGGACTTATATTGGGATAATGGAGAATATAATGGAAACTACGCTTTAGAATTTAGGGTTTAGGGTTTAGGGCTTAGGTAGGGTTATATTTGGATAATGAAAAAGACAATGGCAACTGCTCTAGTATAACAGGGTATAGTATCAGGGTTATACTTGGGATAATGGAAAAGAAAATGGAAACTACTATAATGAGGTCATATAGGGTTTAGGGTATAGGGTTTAGGGGTCCCCTGCTCTGTATGAGGACCACAAGGAGTGTAGCGAAGCATCACAGACGGACACAAGTAAGTGTTACAGGAAGAAAATGAAAATGACTATATAGTATATTGGGGTAATCTTGGGATAATGGAACAGAATTTGGAAACTACTACAGTATGTTGGGGAATTATTACTCCGAGACTCCGATTCCACGTTGCACTGGAAACATGATAGTGGCAAATACTCGACCTGCCACAACAAGAAACCTTAACAGCTTCGAGACATGGAATACAAACTTTTTGCGGTCCCTTCTTGAGCTCTTGCCTCTTTGGGCTTAAGCATCGGGTATCCTGCACAAGCTCAGTTTGTACTTGAAGTGAGCCGTTAACCTCGAATGGCTTCTCAATCGCAGGCTGAAAACCCGCACTCAGAAAGTGGGATTGGGGTTTAGGTTTGACACAAGCCTGAATTTGGATGAAGAACTCCTGATCATCAAAAACCGCCGAGGGAAGTGGGGCGGGGGTTGCTGGTTTACTCAACTATGCATCCCCTTGGTTACCCTGACCACCTCCAGCTAACATATCATTTACACCCAGAATGCGCATGAGGAGTGGCCTAAAACCCCTACACAATCATCCAGCATTTCAAGTATAGAATACCTCCAGACCCGGCAGAAGACTCAGGGGGACAGGTGACATGAAGTTGAAAACGAGTGATGAAGCCCTCAAACTTGCAGAAGCTCTAAACACCTCCCCTAGTGTTGATACTAAAAATCCTGCATGACCTTAGTATACTATAGTACCATTATTCCCAAGGTTTAGGGGATTTAGGGTCATTCAGGATTTTTAGTATCCACCGTAGTGTCCACACCCATGCCAAGAAGCCGATGGTTCGAGGCCTCGCAAGCTTTGACGAGCTCCTTGGCATCAAGGAGTTCTGTGTTTCAGGTTTCAGGTTTAGGGTTTGGGGCTAGGATGGCGCAACCTACCATTCCTCGCACGATAACCCTCTGAACGTGGTGCCAGTAAGCAAGCGCAACATGACTGGAGCCACCCCAAAAACTGTACAAACGCATCCTCCAGAAGCATGGAGCTGGATGCGCAAAATCATAGCCACGATGATCTGTATCAAAAACTGCCGCTCGAAAGAGCTCTACCACTCATAGCATGAAGATGCCCTGTCCTTGTGAAAGACAAAGTTATGCTACGTGCAATGAGCTGTGTCATCCCGTGATGTGGTTGGCACAAACTCCAGTCTGCATCTTGAGCGCGTCAGTCCAGACCTTTACTATTATGAAAGAGCAAGGTGCCCATGAGCTGATTGGAAATGTAACAACGGGAGAAGGCCTTCTACAACCCTGTAAGGCCAGCAAACTGCCTGCAAAGAATTTTGCACATACAAATTACCCTTGCGCGAGCCCAATACATGAGGAGGAACCCCCCACCCTGTAATAGTGGTATAATGGGAATATGAGAGGCCCCTAATATAATCCCTATTAACCCTTATAGTCACTATTACTGGGTGGGGGGTCCGCCTAAGATATAACCATACAAGATCCATGGCATGAAAGGACGTAAGGCAACCCTGATCAATTAAAAGTCTCCAAAAAACTTCTGAATCAAGCATATCCCCAAAACTGAGTCTACAGTCCATGCTGGCCGAGGTCTGGCAACTTCCCCTTAAGTTTCCGAAACTGACCTGAAACCTAAGACCCAAGCCGCACATCTCTAACCCCCATATTTAACCATGCTTCCGGCATCTTCCAGTTCCTGGCATATGGCTAAATTCATAAGAGTAGACTACACTTCGGGATTACGAAGTTCCAGACATGGCATCCAACAATGACGAAAATTTCCTATGTAGCCCAAGTACGCACCCTAAACCCTGAACCCTAATCCCTGTATGCAGACAGAAAGGCCTCCAAGAAGCCAACATGGTCTTCCAGGGTAACTATCCAAACCCTGAGCTGCAGTTGTGTTCAAGCTCCGGATTTTGAGGCTTTGGTTCAGGTTCAGGGTTTAAGGTGTAGGGTTCCAGGTTTAGGCTTAGCTGGGAGTAAAGTTAAAAAGTATGTGTGTTGTGTATAAGCCCCTAGTCCCGCTCTTGCTTGCGGCTTGCTCAAAAACGTATGATTGGAAGCCCAGGTCTAGGTTTCCTGACTGATTCAGGCGCTGTATCCAGAAAGCGAGCAACTTCCGCCGGAGATTGTGCAGGCGATGATTTTGGCATACGCACACACACACACATGGGTTCGTACACACATGTGTGTATGCGCACGCAGGCACAGACATGTGCTCAGAAGCACATGCATGTGCAGGAGCTTGATAGTACAGCCTGGGACTTCGAACATGGTCGCACACGGACACACGTCTGTGTACCCGCACGGACACACACGTGTTCGGAGGCTCGTAAATGTGGCCGCACACACGTGTGTGTTGGCGGCCACATAAATGTATGGGCATGCATGCTATTGTTGCACCCACACGTGTTGCTGCGCACACTGCACGCCTAACTATCAACATGGGCACACTCGCTCGCACATGGGTGCGTGAGCGGACAGGAAAAACGTATATCTATTTCCACACATTTGCACGGGTTGGCATTGCGCCGATCTGCAGCACGCGCACAGATATGATATGAGCCCGGACGCACGTGCATGTACACAGTTTTTGTCAGAGAGATTGTGCATGCGACGATGTTTGCATACGGACACACAAGTGGATATTTACATGCCTGCTACACATTGCGTACCCAACTATCGACATGTACATGCGCTCACACATGGGTGTATGTACTGTGTATGTGCAAACCCTGAATCTTTTCACAAGTTGGCATATCAACATGCCGCATTTAGCATCCGGCTAAGACCCGTGCAATCGGGATCTTGTCGCGCTGGATACCCTCCATTCCTTGCTGTCATTGCCATGGCTTCGCCACACTTTGTTGTTTGGAACGATGGGCTATAAAGCCCCATGGCCTGTCAACCACCCTTTAGAATTTCTTGCGGAGCATGGAATCCAAACTTCATCTGCGGCTATTGGGATTTGATGGGCAAGTCAAACTGCGATTGCTGTGCTTCCTGGATGTCTACAACGTACGTCATGCCCGACGAGGATTCTGATTGTGAATGATCATGAGCACAGACATCAGCATATACTAGCATATATCAGCCATCAACATCGTCCATCAGGATGAAACATCCATCACCCATGGGCATGAGTCACCAGTGCCATCATCAACCACATGGACCATTCATAGTCTTCACCACCCGCAGAGCATTTCATAAAAAAACTTGTGTCATTTGAACACCCATGTATGGCGACATCGCTTCTTTTTATCCTGGTTACGGACTTTTTTTTGGTCGCCTGAAGATGTCCAGCCGAGCACGGACATCCACAACGATGGACAAGCGTGGTTTTTGCAACGGACGTCGAAAGCTATTTTGACTTGAGATTCGGCTCCACTATCTTTGAGGCAGGGCAATTGCATCCTCATACTGTCCAAGACGTCAAGCACTGGCAGATAAAGATGTCGAGCCTCTTTCACCACACGACGTGCGGTCTGCCTGCTCCGCAAGAAATTGTAGAGGTTAATTGCAGGGCCACCGGCTTTATAACCCATCATGCCAAACAAGAAGGTATTGCAAAACCACGGTATTGATATGTAGTGATAGCAAACCATTGAAGAATGTATCCAGCGTCACAAGACCCAGATTGCCCAATGGTTGGCTGCATGCCTAAGCAAAAATCCGTTCTTTCGTCTGGTGGGTCTGTTTTTGAGCCTTTAAGTCCGTTTGTCTTCGTTGTCGGCTACCGCTTCCTCATCTTCACGGTTCGCGTCAAGGCTTGTTTTTGGCTTAGGCCGTCAATCATCTTTGGGGGTCATCTTTTTCCATTCTCATCTTCAGGCCATTCGAGCCCCTATTGTTACCAGACTGCTACTGTATACTGCCATTCCAGTCTACTCCCCTCCACTGAGGGGTTTGGACCGTTTCGTCCACGCCGTTCATGCAGCTTTTGGCATGGACTGGAGTGCAGCCATCCGTACAGCATACGCATGTTTTCACTCTAATTTGCTTGGTCACCAGCAAAACATCTGGTGTCTCCCCCTTTTGGGGGTTTGTGTGTGTGTGTAAAGCCCTGATTGCTAATCTCAAGGGTTTTGCATGTCATGTTTTCGCCATGTGAGATGCAGGGGGGGTATGGACCTTACTCACGACCATGTCCAGTGAAGCTGTGTGAGTACCGGGGATGTGCTCGAGGACCCTCAAGCATGTACCTGCATTGGGAACATTTTGGCAATTGTGATATTCCGCCGGTGCTACGCTGACATGGCACCATGGTCTTGTGGCAGCTAGAGGACAGAGATTCATACAAGGAAGGGTGTCTTCCCCTTTCATCATTACCACCATTACGTGGGCTCCTGGATCCTATGCGGATAGCTGGAACACGAAAAACAATTGTTGCTCTTGGGCCTTTGCGGCAGCTAGCACAGATTCTTACAATGAAGTAGGGGTGTATTTCCTTCTCCATCATTACCACCCTCACGTGGCTGCTCTTGGATCCTGTGC